GATGTGTTCTATTTTGTATTCACAGCCAATGTGTTCACAGTAGCATTATAAGACGTGGCCCTTCCTGGATCTGTGGTCATAAGTGATAAATACAAGGGAGTGGGTTTACCGAAATAAGGGCGGGGAAGGCGCGTGGGTAAAGGAAGAAGGTCGAGAGACAAGTGCGGCAGCAGGGAGTGCTGGGTCAAGAGCCGACAGCCACAGCGCACTCAATTGAACGGTTGCGTCAAGGGCGAGGACGCAAAATGGGATGGGTGATGCAAGGAAAATACCCATTGAAACGCTGAATGGATCCGCCATGAATTTTGTTTCGCAACGTTTCCATGGCTCCGCCTTGTCCACTTGGATTATTGGTTTATTTTTGGTGACGCAGGTACGTGATGCTCACTTCTTTTCTTTTCTGTCAGTTCACGTTATACAAATAGCGTATACGTTCGATGTTCCCCATCAACCCATCGCTGCTCGTTTACAGTACCGGTCATAACACCAGAATAGGGAATACTTGCAAGGAATGACACTTCGAGGAGAGCAAAACGTAATTCAATTCTCCCTTAAGTTTAGTCTTGTGTCCTGTGGCAGCTGTAAGGGTATCATTGCCCATCTCATGTCGCGCGTAGCACTATAGATATAGCACATGACATCCCCATCTGGGTTGCAACACACGTTAGGTGTCCAGGAACACAACAGGTTTTCACGAACTCTTACTTGCCGGCCGTGATGCAGTGCTCTTTGACACCCCAAAACTGGTCGAGGCGTGAATATACTTTCCTCTCCTCACTGTTAAAGTTAAGTGCCTGGCAAATTCGGCAATAGTAGTGAATGGGGGATCCAAAATAGCCATGTTCGTTCACCACGTGATATGCGCTGCGCCACGCGTGGTATCTCGCGTATTCCTCAGGAGTGTCGCTGAGAAAGGTCAGATACTTTGCCAGTTCTCCCACTGACGCAAAGTCTTCCAGAAAAATGAAGCTGCCCGGGGGCAGGACCTTCTCATAGTCTCTCTTCCTAGCGCCCCACACCACCGGCACGGCGCCCTTTCCCAAGCCGTGCCAGAACACCTTTTCTGTGATGTAACCGTCGCAGCGGCTGTTCTCGAAGGCCAGGTAGAACTTGTAGTCGCCCAGCAGCTTGCAGTCCTTGTCGTAGTGTCCGGGGCACTTCAGCGTGCCGCATCGACCGTATACGTCCACGGGGAGCAGCTTCTGTAGCTGGCGCACGTACTGCCAGCGCCCGCTGCCGTCACAGTTGGAGCCCATGGTCGCTACCATCTTGGTTTTGGGAGTCACCAGAGCCTGCGAGCGGCCGGGCACGGTGCGCCCGTACGGCACCGGCACGTCCGTGTCGTACCGGTAGCCCATGGACCAGTTGAAGACGCTGTTGTAATGTGAGATGTTGTTGCGTGAGAGGAAGACATGGCGCGGACTCTCGTCGCTGAGGAAGATCCACCGCTGCTCACTGCGCCGGCGCGGCGGCAGCGCATCCTTCTTCGTCAGCTGCAGGTGGAAGAGGACGGCGTCGGCCGCCTCGGCCGCCGCCGGATCGCTGGTATAAAGAACGCGGCAGTTCTGCACGTCGCAGCCGAGCAGCGGCGGTCGGAGCGTGCCGCCGAAGGAGCGCATCAGACGGCGCTCCAGACGCAGGCCGTGCCGCCACACGGCCAGCGTGAAGTTGCGCGATCGCGGCCGGCCCGGGCGCTCGCCCAGCAGCACCACGCGGCCCAGCGTCGACATCCGCGCCCGCTCCGCCGCCGAGAAAGCGCCGTCCGGCCAGGCGGCGGTGGGCGGCACGGCGGCGGCGGCCGGCAAGGCGGCTGGCGCCGGTCGCGGCGCCGGCCGCAGTATCAGGAACGGCACCATGCACATCACCACCAAGACAATCAGCAGCGTCCGCGCCCACCACAGCGGGCCGACCATGGCCCGTGCGCGCGCCGCGGCGGCTCCGTGTCACTGCGGGCGAACAGAGATCAGGGCAGTCACTCATCAGTCGTCACTGCCATGTCAGTGGTGCATAAATGCGCAGAAGGTGCCGGTCACCGACATAGGTGTCAGCGCAGAGGCCAGAGTGCATAACTGAGTGCTCGGGCGATTGCCTTTGGATATCATCGCACACATGCGCCATGGCACAATCGGCAACTTAAAGCATGCTTGCTTTTTTGGAATTACATTTAGGATGTTAGTTTTCTTAAGTCATGAAAACACAAGGATATTTGTCTGGTCGTTTTGAAATCATGTCATTTGCATCGCAATTTACAATCGATAACACAACAACTCCAACCCTTCCAAAAGTAGTGCAAATCACACCTACTCAAAAAATCAATAAACAAATCAAAATCAAAGCTATCCAAAAACATGACCAACATGGGAGCGGCAGTTCTGAAAGTTAGTACTGGATGGCTTATAACAAACTTGTCATAATGGTGTTCCATTGCGCATCACCATGGATGCTTTCGAGGTCTGTTGACTGATGGCAATGCTCCCACGATCGACTATTAACCGACGGCAATGCTCCCACAATTTATTAGTTCCATCATGCCAGCGTAGTTCACAGTATCATAGTCTCAAACCGGTTCCAGTGCTAACTGTGGTTGCAAGGTCTGTTATTATGACGCGCATGGATCCATTCGCAAGCACACTGAAAGGAAATGTTTTGCCCTTTTGATTCGCAGCCAACCCGCTGGCTTGTAAAGCGCAGACAAAAGCTCATTAGCTTGCGATACCAAATAAGTGCGATGACTCGGGTTCTCGTCAGTATGAACTGCCGACGAGGTTAGAATCGCATGTTTCTAGCTTCATGCAGGTGCGTAACGTGATATACTGCATCTGAATAGGAGGTCGGTTCGGACCAATACACGCGCTCTGCAATTGTTCTGTTCGATGCGTTTTCCTTCATACTGCTCCCAAGATACTCGCGCACTAATAACTGATCACACTAGCATAATACCCGGGCATACGACGGTGCATTAAAAGAAGCATAATACGTAGAATGTTGTGATCAGGTGCTGTAGTCCCCTTCAGGCTTAAAGGCGCCTCAGCAGTAGCATCCTTCAGCGGGTTTACCATAACGCTCGCAGGCAAGGAAACTGAGGATGACGTGTTTGTTACATGCCAGCGGCAGAGCGGCGGATGTTTACAAGACGGTGTGCAGGTTTCGGCTGGCCTTGGATACCAAACAGCTGCAGCTACGGCACGGCGATGTGGCAAGCACGCAATAGCAATCTAAAACATGCTGCACACGCTTTAGTCGGCCTGTTTTCAGCGGAATGCCAGAACTGAGATATATTCTTTCGGCAAATAAGGTAATAACAATGATTATAGAAGGCACACGTAGCCTGGTACGCATTTCAAATGGCAACCAAGATTTCAGGCAGATGTCGCTATAATGGCAATTGTACTGAAGCCGCATGAAACGAAGGCTTTACATGGAACGCCAACTTGTCTCCTAAAATACCGGGTTGGGCTCAACGCCTGCGACATACGTAGATACGGAACTTTTCTAAGCAAAGCGTGCACCTTCGTCCTGCATGAAACAGCGGATAAAGCCGGCCACATTGAAATAACGGCAAATGAAAGGCCGGTGGACCCGTTCGTGGCTAGGGCAGACAGCTCTCCGAAAGTTTATATTACGCTGTGTTGTGCTGACAGGGAACATAATATGGAAATAGGTGGTGTAGCAGGCGTCTCATCTGCCTTGCACACAAATTAATAGTAACGCTGATTCCTAGACACGCAGGACAGCAGTCATACGATCAGTCCGTAGTCAGTCATGCGAGGGACAGCCGGGTGAGGATAGTGCATGCCGGCGGCGCGCGGCAGTAGGTCACACACGGAATATCCAAAAGAAGAATATGTGTTATGTGGTTTGTTTTTACAGGAGAAGCACCGGCGTTACGCCTGTTGCTGTTGTATTTTTGGCAGGCGGCGTTTGAAGCTTGCGAATGTATTTTTGCCTCGAATTCTGCGACAAAAACTTATCCGTTATTAAGAAGTCGGCGAAATTCAGGCACATGAAAACTCTAGCGCACTGCAGGTAATGTATTTGAATTAAACATTTTGACGTCTCGTCTACGCCGCGGAACTAGGCACCCGAGGAACGTGCTCATCAGCTCCAAGAAGCGTGTCAGGATCCGGAACCTGATCATGCCCCCCCCCCCCCCCCCCCCCACCACCACCACCACCACCACCACCACCACCACCAACAACAACAACAACAACAACAACAACGAGCGGAACGGTGAGAAGCTAGCTCGTTCAAACCGAAGCTTCCTTTGTCTGTCAAATGCATCCACATAAGCTGCTCGGTGACGGCTCTTCAATCAAGTCTTTTGGGCACTGCCGATTCAAATTTTAGGCCCACTTGAGCATCTTTTCAAGATCAGTACATACTTATAAGTGGGGCGAAAACGTCAATTTTGTGCGACATAATTTTAACGCATTAAATAACTTAAACGTGTCCATATCTATTATTACTCATGCAGCCATCGAAATTTGCGCTGAGTTCATCATGGCGGCGGATATATATATATATATATATATATATATATATATATATATGCATCTTAGGATTCCTCACTAAGAAGTGACTCACATCAAAACACGTTGACCAACTTATGAATGTTATATTACTCGCGACGTGTTTCACAGAACAACGGCTGTGTCATTAGGCAGATTGAAAATACCATGGGTGCCCACGCAATGACACGACCAACCGCCAATTTTAAAGGCATGCATCGTTTTATCACAATTGCTAATGGGTGCGACGAAGGTATGTTACTTAGTGCTGAACCTTTCCTAAAAAATTATAAGGCATGTGAGATTATCAAATCAAGCAGGGAATAAAGTCCTACCTTAGATACTAAAATTGGAAGTCAAGACTGGGTTGCCATGCGTAAATGGTCCCCATACGAGAACATCCATGTCTGTGTGACAGCCCGGTTTTGGCTTTCAATTCTAGTATTTTGGTCTATTTAAAAAAGATAGCCCGTCCGGTGTAAAGAATCGTCCAGACATACCTCAAGATCATTCGGCGCAGTTTGCAATCATGTTCTTCTTAATACCGAAACCCCTCTAGTTTCTGAGCTTCACGCCCGCGAAGATGTGCGGGCTTTTTCGGGGCGACTATATCAAGATCACCCAGGCATCCATGACGTCACAATAAAGTGACTGAAATCCTGTCATTCCATCAGTAATGCGGCGACCCAGACCCAAAAACGCAATTGTCACTTTGTTCATATCTGGCGTTCATGAGTACCATTTTCAAACATAACGGCTGTCAATTGACTCTCAATTAATGTTGTGCAAGGTATGATGACGTTACAAAACAATGACCCAGTGAGGAGCGTGGTGGCTAAATAGAAAAGTTGTGTGGTCTACAGCAGTTTTTTCGCTTCAGAATATCTCAATAGTTACAAATGAGGATATTTCATCATATTTGATGTTTGCCTCAACATATTCAAATATGGAGCATTCCCTAACATTAATCACTTTTGAAACTGCATATTATACGACTAAACCGGCCAACATAGACCTAGATATGAGGATCTGACATTACAAAACCCAAACGGGTCTAAGTCCAGCCGTGCTCAATCCGTTTCATTATTGCACATCGACTTTCAAAATTTGCGCACTCGCCGTGACTTTGCCACTTACGCCTATTAACGCTATGGCCGTAATGTAGCATACTTGTTAAACTTTCAGAATCATCTGGATACTCTTTTCCTACTTGTATTTTCTCGTAGCCAGAGACAGTCAGATCGGTGGGGTCGCCTACTCAGAAACCAGAAATACTGGAAACAAGCCGTTATTTATCTGGAAATCGTGCTCACAAACGCTTAACACGAACGACTCGACAATTACACTTTTCTTGGCTTTGACCACCACACAACTAATGGAATGACATGATCTTGATGACGTCAAAATTAAGGCATGAATGTCTGGGTGACCTTGAAATTGTCTCCCCGAACAATTATGCATATATTCGCGGACATGTAGCCCAGGAACTAGACGAGTCTAGATCTTGAAAATGGCAGGGCTGTAAACCGCACCAAATGATCTTCAAAATGGCGGTTTCAATTCAAAACCCTTTAAAAATGTGGAACACTTCATCTAAATTTACATGGGGTGGTGAACAGAAAAAGCCATCTTGTAGGCCTTTCAGTGAAATTCAGAGTTCTGCCGTTTTGTTAGATCTAAGCCCCTTTAGTTTCTGAGCTACACGCTCGCGAAAGTGGGGAAAAGTATATCGGGAAAAGTAATTCGAATCGCCTCCGCACTCTTGACATCATAATAGCGTCATTCAAATCCTGCCATTCCATTGGCCATGCGATGGTCACGGTAAAACAATATATAACTTCAAGGCGTTCACATCTGGCATTCGTGAGCGCGATTTACAAATATAATGGTCGTCAATTGGCTCTCAATTAGTGTTGTGCAAGGCTCCATGACGTAATAAAACCATGAAGCACTGAGGAGGATGTTTATGAAACAGGGGAGTATACTGTCTAGAGGACTCTTTTCAATGTCCTAGCATTGCCGCCTCTGAGTGTAAAGCAACACCCTATGAGGAGGAACTTTTCACTACTTTCCTCATATTTTATGTGAACTTTTCACTCCCATCTGGCATTGTCTAATCGCACATGCCAAACCCCTAGTTCCCTTTCTGAGGTTTTCAGATGTCATCCAAAACCGAGCTCACTTGAAACCACCAAGCATAAACGACGCTCCACAGAACCTGT